CGTATAGTTCTAAAGTTAACCGCTTGGGGCGTCACGGTCGCTCCTCCTCCCCAATAACGAAAACATTTTTGGGTGCTTCAATAATGTAAAATTGGTCGTGCAACATTTGTTTTTGTACTTTCAATAAATACTGTTAAGAAGTAACCCCTGACGTTGATAGCTTACGAAAAGAAAAAAAAATAGCAGATACAAAAGAAACTAAAGAAACAAATAGCTGTCGATCCCCTCCTCAACTCGCAATTTGAACAAGCAGCCACGTGATCTGACGCTAATTATATACGGTCAGTGTTCATCATAGTCATGCGCTAGGGTTTAGAAAGCAAAAGCTTGGGCTGGAGCTTCAGATATTGTTAGAGTTGGGCTATTATCATCTTTAATTGAACACTAGCCGTTGCCCGAATGTTCGGCGATGCTGATTGGCATGAACTTGAGCACTCGATTCGGGGCTATGAAAATTGTTTACGTCACGGTGTCACGTGACTCGGTGCAAAATCCTGATATCATGTTACGGCACGCTGTCAACAAGGTTAATACATCTAGTGACTTTCTCAAATTAAATCGACTTGACGCAGTGAGTCACGTGACATCACAGGGTCACGTGACATTACTTGACAGCATGTATTGACACCATGACGTCACGTGACAACGTGACACATGGTTAAGCATAGTGCCAGTACAAAAGCGCCACAAAAACCCACAGTTTACCATACATTGCAATTCTGTATGTGACAATTCGAACAACAGATAGAAATACAGCCGCCAATTTCATACTCCCATATGTTCGTTTTGTGATACTAACAAAAACGAAAAAAGAATACCTTGAACCGTTTTGAACCGGTTACCGTTATATTTTTTTTCGGTTCTGTTCCGGTTCAGTTCCAAGATGGCGGCGAAGATTTCGGTTCGGTTCAGTTCCGGTTCGGCTAAAAATAACGGTTCGGTTCCGGTTTTCGGTTCGGTTCGGTTCCGGTTCGACACCCTGCTCAGGGGTGTGAGGCGTACATGCGTACAGGGGTGTAAGGCGTAAAATTAAGACGCCAGTGTTATTACGTAACGTAAAGAGGGTACAGATGCATGGAAGTCAGGATAACGTCCACTTCAACTGAATAAAGCATGTTTTCAGGAGATAGGTGAAGACCGTGCGGCGGCGTCTCACACCGTTGACGCCTCGCTGGCGAACGCCAACCTGCGTCGCCTACGAGGCGAGCGCCTGGAGGCATGGTCGGAGAGGCTCATCTTTAAAAAGTAATTTCTCTTCAACAACAAAGAGTACTTCTCATTTTTTTATATGCTGAAGAGATGAGGTGGATTGGGACCTTTTGACTATTTCGAAAGTTGCAAGCACCGCTGCCCACATTGCTTTTTCTGGCTCTCAGTAAGGCCATTCCTGCATAAACTGAAGATTTTATGAATTAATTAAAATGCAACAAAACGAGACTTTGAAAATTTAACATGTGCAATTCAGTTATTAGTTCTATGAGAAGAAACGAAAAAAGTATTGTAGCTAACACCCAACTCCAAGTTGACTAAAAAAAATAAGAAAATCTCATCAAGCATCTTTTTTTTGCAGGTCCTATTTAGACTTAAAATGGCTTCTTTTGATGTTTCTGTTTTACTGTATGATTGGACATGTTATTAAGTAGTTAGGCGCCCACCTACATTAGTGTGGTACGCAACCTCTTTTTTTTTATCAATGTTTTTCTTAACTACGCGGATTTTTTACAAGTTCCAGAAATTTAGAACATGATGTCCGCAAAAATAAAATTATTTTTTTCACAAAAATGAAAAAGACTGCCGCATCTTTTTTAGCATGGAACGTCCCACTGGTATTCGTGCACCCCTAATTTGTTTGTTGAAAGTATTCAAAATATTTCGTAGAGAGTGAGAGCGAACATGTTTGTATCTTTCTGAAACTGTGAGTGCTGTGCAGGGGGATTTGATCTCAAATTTGTGGTAACCAACTGCTCACTTTTCTTTGCGGTGGTCCTTCGTATGATTTGCGTTTCTTGCCGCATAGTTTAGCTTTGCTCGCATGTGACTTAAATGCATTTGAATTCATGGAACTGCGAATTAGTAACTGTATAAAGTGCAAGTGTGACGAGCCTGAGCATTGCCGAAATTTTGTCTGTTTATTCTGGTTTTCTAATAAATTACTTTGCAGTAATTAACTTGTCACAATCTGTTTGACATTAAAGGGAAACTGAACCGAAATTTCGAGCTCGCAAAACAAGGCTGGACGGAGAGGCGGGACGCTGCGAAACCCCAAAACATCACTCGTACAGCGATATCTCTAACGGATATCCATATTTTTGGAAAAGAAGTGTGCGATTGAACACTGCCGACGAGGCCGACGAGACAAGGCACGTCACAATTCTCGTTCCCTCTCCTCCTCGCTACATCCTGTCCAGTTGGTGAACTGAAGCGTGGAGGAGAGAAGCGAAGGCACTTCCTCTTATTCTCAAATGTTCCAGGAAGAGAGTGGCGTCATAGCCCTCACTTGATCGCGCCCTTCTTTTCCAAAAGTATGGCCATCGTATTGAGATATCGATGTCTGAGTGATGTTTTGGAGTTCGTAGCGTCCTATTCAATGCTTCGCCGGCCTTATTTTGCGAAATCCATATTTCGGCTCAGTATCCTTTTAAGTTGATGTGTTGAATTTGAAGTGTGAGTATTGTTCCAGAGTCCAGACCAATTAGGTAAAAGAAGCAAAGCTGGATTGTCATATTTTGTTTGAGAAACGAAGGAGCACACAATCGGAGGTGTCGCGAGTTCCTTGAACAATCATTGGCAAGTAGCCTTCTCAATGCTAGAGAATTTTACTGATATGCCGTTCACTTAAAATTGTTAGCTGGGGTTTGCTTCACGAACCATCGATACGCAAGCAGGGAAGCCGGAACCGAGAAGGCAGGGGGCTCGGCACCCTCTATAAGAATGCTTGGACAAGAGATACCAGGCGGTCATCACAACATGCTGCATGCACTTCTCGCACGGCGTAGTGTAAGGAAAAAGAAAGAAACCCGCAAGGATAGTGAACAAAACTCGGATTGTAATATCTGTAAAAATAAAACAGATATTTTTACATGAAAAATTAAAAAAATCATCAAAAAGGAACTTGGCTTCAGCTCTTGAACTTGGCTCAAAATATTCTTCCAGCATCGCTGGAAAGGACAGAAGAACTAGAACAATATTTTATCATAAGCAGTGACTCCTCCGGTGTATTTCGCCGAGACATGTCATAAAATTGCTTATGTGTTATTGAGAGTTGCAGTGGGATACGGATAATCTCATTGATAGCAAACACCAAGGGATACTTTTGCTAGCCTCCATCTATTAGGTGGGACAATGGGGACATCCTGAATTTGTCATCAGCACCACAATTAGTAAAGTTACACAATGGGAACACCTGGCCTTTACATTCTTTCACGCTTGTAGGAGCATGCCCTTGAAATCTTTTTCTGTCAACAAACTCAAACTCTCCTTCTTTGCCGTTAATTGACAGAGTGGTCCTACTGTACGGGTCAACTATTGCATGAAAGATTTGTCTGGAACCAGAATGAACACTATGTCCCCCTGACACTCTAGAAGCGGAGCTTTAATTGCCTTGTCAAAGCAGTGCACTGGTAGTGCAACCAGTCTGAGAGTCGATGTCATTCCATCGTTTTAACAAAACAATTTGGTGATTCTTTATAGGATGTCTGTAAATCTGTACAACCTTGCATTGAATGTGTTAGCTCTTAACGGTGGCAATGCAGAACGCAAGTTTGTCTGCTTCTCTCTCGGGGTAGCGGTGACGTCAGAAAGCCAAGTTCGAGATCCGATTGGCTCCGATTGGAAGGATAGTGGGTAGACCTCAAGGCAGCTAGCATTGAGGTCTAGCCACTATCACTCCATCAGAGCCAATCAGAGCTTGGCGTTCTGACGTCACCGCAACCCCTGCGCAAGAAGCAGACAAACTTATTTTGCTGCGGATATGAGATTGTCAAACAATGTTTCATCGACAGATAGTTTTTGTTGACACACGGCATCTCATTGGTAGTTCATTTTATCTAAAATGCTTCTTGCATTTGTTTCGTCGGCACACCCTGTGGCATATCGTAGAACACAACCCTGCTGTTTTTGCGAGCAACTTTTCGTGTCTCACCAAGTTTACGGGTGTAGAGATGGAGGGGAGACTGAAGCTTGGGTAAACACGCCTCGGTGAATAATACACTAGCCTATTGTTGCTTCCAGATTTGATTACTTGCTTAGTATAAAAAAAAAGGATGTTGTCAACAAACTGTTGCAGGAGCATGTGTCCACACAACACCACAGTGTTGACGAAACTTGCGTTCATGAAAAGTTGTTTATAAAACGTGTTTCTTTCAAACGTACGTGTTTCGACAAAGCGAAATGGACCCGGCTATGAGTGACAAATTTGGATGAAATGGAAATAGAGAATAGAAGAATGTGACAGCAGCTTTTCTTAAATTTTTATTTGGCTTGTTTATAAAAGGTCTGATAAAGAAGTGGTTGTCAGTGTAACGATATAAAGTCATAAAAGTGCCGAACGGCTTCTAGAATAGTCTGGTGATGACAATGAAGATGAGCCACACATTTCGGGACTATAATTACTACACCTAAACTGGAAAACAAAAAAGACGACGGGAGAAAAAATAATTGTCGAGGGTATCTTGTGGGTTCTTGGCCACCCTCCCGTCCCGTTGTCCCTTTTCTTTCAGTCTCGAGTGTCGTCGCCCTTCTAAGCGATTCGCGAACTTGAATTAACTTCAATTTTCTGTGGAACCCCTTTTATTTGAATTAGTCCCGAGTGGTCTCAGTGCTGCATAAGGATAATGTTACTGGTTTGTAATAATAATAATAATGTTTTTATTTTCAGTGCCCCCAAGAAAACACTTGTTCTTGTTACCATAAAAGCAGTTATGAGTAATTTACAGGCTTATTCAATTATTCTTGTTTTTTTTATTACAGGCTTTATTATTTACAGGCTTATTCAATACAAGAAATTTTTGTGTTTTTTTTTTGTAATTTTTTTGTTTGAGTTTGACACAAAAGTAATTTTTAGCGTGGTCAGCGTTTCGCTACTTTTGACGGTGAACGGCTTACTCGCCTAGCAACCCTGCTCATTTTCCTCCTCTTTTCTTTCCTTCGTTACTTTTTTTTTCGAATGGCGGACTGTTTCGTTTTGCTGCTGTGCTCGCTGGTATAACACCCTGTTAGGATGGCTGTCACGCGTCCAAGTTGGTTGTCCGACTTCACGGCGAAGGAGCGGCAGTGCCTCAAGTGTCTGTACCGCAAGTACGCCATGCCCCAAGTCCATAAGATGGAGCGTATGCGTGAAGAGTGCGCGGGCCAGATCGACCAGGCTCGTTGTCGCCACTGGAGAATTTGGTCCAACATATCCCTGGGTCTCTTCGATGAGACCGGTAAAAAAGTGTCGGCAGAGAAGATCGAAGACTGTTTCTGGATTGTGATCGGCGGCGGCGATCTGAATGTCATCAGGGCAAAGCTGAACGACCTGATCGACGACGACAGCTTGGATGGGGCGGACCCAGCATCGGCGTCAATACCACAAGTGAAACCAGCAAAATATCACCAGCGACGAGGTCAGAAACTTTCGCGTTCCGACGGTCTCGATACTCCGCAACGCGGGCATCCCGAAGACGTGGTCGCAGCTCAACTGTCGCTGGTCAGGAACGATGGTGCTAACGTCTGGTCGAGCGGTGCTGAAGATGTAGTTTCTGTCGAAAACGTTGGGAGTTGTAAAGTTGTGGCCAGGGTTGAACGCGCAATTAATGGCATTGCCAGTGAGGTGGCCATTCCGTCGCTGACGATGTACGACGTGGAGACGGCAGCGTATTTTGTCCGCGACAAGCCTCCCTCTTGGAGTGGGGCCCTCGACCTCCATTTGCGCCTGATTCAGAATAGCGGTAACCCGGAACCTGTGGACCTGAGCGTGTGTCCCTTCGTCCCGGGCGCGTGTCCCGTCTTCCCGAGCGTGTGTCCCGTCGACCCAGCCCGCGTCGATAGAGCGGTACAGTGCGACGACACGCCCGTGGGCCTGAGCGCGCGTCTCGTGCAAAGCCGCAGCGAGCGCGTCGACAAGGCGGTACAGTGCGACCGTGACGCCAAGGAATTGGTGATTCTTATGCGCAATGAACACCTGGCCCGGATGAACAAGCTGCGATTGGAAAGAGATGTCTTCGAGCAGATGCGGCTCCGCGTCGCGATGGAATGTTCTCAGGAAGCAGGTGGGAACACTGGCGCACCCACCACTTCGTAAAATCATGCTCCCTATTTGTTTTGAATGTCCACGGGTCATGTGGACTTTCGCTGTTTAACCCAGCTTCTCCTTTACATATTAGCACATTCATTATTGAGTTCATTTATTAGGTGACACTGTCTAGTTGTTTTCTTTAGTGGAAGGTTGTGGTACACAGAGTCACACTGAAATGTTTAGCGAGCCCACCTTTGAAGTGTCGTGTCAGAACAAAAGGTGGGGGCTGACTAGTAGTTCAGGATCCGACCATTCTGTTCTCAGGAATTTTACAGTTTTGGTCGAGAACTTTCGGATGCTACTCAAACAAAGACCTTGTACTACGATGATCCCAAGTTTGATTGTTTATATATTTGGATGGCTTCATTGATTTTCTGTAAGCAGGAAGACTCTTCTGCTTTAATGTTACTCAAGAGAAATGTTACAATTGTTTGTGCTAGCTTCTAATTTAAGTTGCAGTGACCGGTGTTCATTATCCCCGTCCAGAAGTGCTCTGCAGTCATTTTTTAATATTCTGTTTTCTGTGATATGTGTTTTTGTTTGAGACACGTCTCAGGTGCACTCTACTTAGAAACCAAAGCGAAATTACCAAAGATAGCATAAGTTTGTTTCCCTCAACGAATAGCCAGCTCACCGTTGCGCAAGAATGGCAAGAGCTCGCAACTACCATTATAGTCTGCGACAAGTAAGAGATCGAAGGAAGCTCCACCCACCTCCCGCCATTCTAGCAGAGCAAATGCTGGAGAGGAGGCGACCTCTTTTCAAGCATTAGCACTGCTAGAGTGGAAAGACTTGGGCAGAGATTCCCCTGAGCTCTTAACCTGTCACCAACTATGCCCCGAGAAACGGGAGGGGAGAGGAGGAGATCGTGAGGGGACATCAGAATGCCAAGCTTTGGTTGGGATGATTCATGGGTGGACCGAGACCTAACTGCCTTTGTCTCGACTGCATCCGTCGAACGCTTTAGAACACGGGATGCTGGCGTCCGACGTTTGGCTTTTGCATTTGAATTTGTTTCAACGAGTGCGGTGGAGACAAGGGCAGCTAGCGCTAGGTCTGCCCACTGATCGTTCCTACCAGAGCTCGGCGCTCTTGACGTCTATGTGCGCTCTCGTTTCCTCCTCCCCCTCGGTTTCTTGGCAGATAGACCTGTTGCATCTTGTAAAAATGGCACCCCTAACAGTGGCATCCTTGGTGAAGGTTTGTGGTTATGTTTCAAAGAATTCCCCGATTCCCCTGGGATCTCTCTGTTGTGGCTAAAATAGCTTCGACAGGTCTGCCAGGTTGCTGACCTGCGGTAGCAGACCGGTTGCTTAACTCCCTTTGTTGGTGTAACTTTATTTTTTAATTATAAGTTGAATCTGTAGCTTCCAATTCAGGGACAGCTTTGGTTCTGACATGTTTCTACATTATCGGAGGAGCAGCTTCAGTGCACGTTTTGAAGCACTTTGTATGCTTAATTTATTTTGCAGGAAGTCTGCATGGCGCAATATTTTAACCAATTTTGTTTTGTGTGCTAAATTTTTTTTATTACTGTTTCTATTTATTATTTCTTTTTTTACGAACCTTTCCGCTAATCGGGTCTTGACGCATTGCTTAAAAACTTAAGGAATTCGGCATCGAAGGACAGCACACGAAATATGTGCTTTTGGTGTTCTGTCCTGTATTTAATTCTTAAGTTTTTACCCTATACCAGTACACTCACCTCAAAACATAAAACAGTACCTGGATCTTATGGTATCTCTTATAATTTACTCACTGTGTTTGCCCACGGAGTGGAAATGATTACATTTTTGAAGCTTTCGTAAGTAGGGCGTGCACAGTATTTTCTCGCTCTCTATATCCTTTATTTCAACCAACATTATGAAGTGTCATTTTTTTCTGATGCTTTCTTTATTTCATGTTTTTATAGAGCTGTGGTTGTGGTTGTGGTTGCAAGTACTCAATTGCATTCTCTAATGACAACTTGGTGGTTCTACCATTTTGTGTGCCTGGTCATTTGAGCTCAGACTTGTAAATCTTTCATTTAGCAGATTCCTCATTACGCTGCTTTCCAATAAAGGTTTCATTTCACCTGCTTAGTTTCTCTTCGTGCACTGATGCAGTTTGAACAGCAGCGATGTGATTGCAGTGGTGCAAAACTGTGCCAAAGTGCTTACTCTGCTTCATCCTGTTACATTTAACTGAAATGCGGGTAATTTGTGCCAACGCAGCGCCGAAAGCTCATTTCACCTTATCGAAACAAAGAGCTGAGCTGTTGCTGCACGGCCAGTACATTGCGGTAAGCTTGCTCAAATTTTTAGAACTTTTGTATCGCTCTGACGACCCTGCGCTTTGATGTGATCTTCGTATCGAACATGGCTCGGTACTTGGAAGTTTCGGGATATTTCTTATTCTTCATAGTTTGTTCCAATGGTTTAATTAGCTTCATTGAGAGTGCTTCTCACCGCACGCTGGTGCACTACAGAGAAGCTGCGCCCGTGAAGCAATAATCGCGATTTTCTGTTTGTGGTTTCGCCGCAGTGGAACCCTGTGCTGAGGGGCAAGATACTGGTAGAATTGTTCTTAGCTGCACTGTGTTAATAATGTAAATAAATAAAAAAAATGGTGATTCACAACTATACGTGGCACTAAACGTGTACAATAAAATGGCGATTATTTATGTGATAGATCGCAACATTCTGACAGGTACGTGCATCAAGCATTTGTAGTTCTTCTTAGATTTAAGGAGGGCGAATTTCGGTATTGGGAAAGGGTTGACGAATCACAGTAATTGGGTGTACCTGGGCTGCATCATGGGCAATGATGGAAGTGCTGTGACAAATTGCGCCAAGAACTAAAGTCCGCCATATCTTGTGGCGAAATTCTTTTTTGTTAAGTATTGCATTACACCTGCACCGAGATGTGCTTAAACAACAACAGCAAAAAAGGATATCGCTTGATCCTGATATTCAGAGAAGTGGAAGAAAAGAGAAGTGGTACAAATATGTATCCCAGAGTGTCTGTACATACTGTATAGATCCGGTAAGAGCACGTTCCAAGGCTGTAAAACAACCCCCAACACACATTAAGCGCTCAAGTCGCGGGGCATTCGCAGCACTCTTGGTGTTTAGCCCAGGGGTTGGCAACCTTTTGCTGCAGCTTGCCAAATCGCTGCAAAGTGGAGACTGAGTAGACCTGAGGGTGAAATCAATTTAGAGAAGCTGTGATGGAAGTGCTGCTCCAAATTGTGCCATAAACGAAAATTTGCTACATCTTGCGCCAAAGTGCCATTTTTGCTAAGAATCGCGTCACACCCGCGCCAAAATGGGCAAAGCAAAAAATAAAAATAATTGGTTGACTTTAATATTTAGAGAACTAGGAGGAAAGGAAAATGGGGGAAATATCACAGCGAAGCTGTTTATGGCTAGGGTTCCATGGATTTTTCGTGTGCGTAAACTGTTATAGATAGCGGCGCTGCCAATAACAGTTTATCAAAAGCCGCGTGTGCTCACGTGGTCCCGGCAGCTTCTAGAAAAGCAATTGAGCTCTCGCTCCTTGCACTTTTTCTCACGCTTGGTACTGGTCAAGTTGCACCATGTAGTAATAAACGCCTACTCAGTCTTCAAGCTGTCGTCTACCTTCATACACAACAAGTGGCGACGAGGAACAGCGGAGACGGCGGCGATTCTACAAAACTCAAGAAGAAGCTGATGCGGTTCTTCTGTCTGGAGTACACACTGCCAAGCTAGACGAAGGTATGGCGACACCAGTCACGCAAGTCGTAAGGCGACTCGGTCACATGGAGCCATTTGACGACTCTGCAAGTGACTGGACCTCGTACGACGAACGTTTGACGTCATTTCTTCGCTTCAACAAGGTCCCCGAAGAGGATAAGGTGCACGGGTTCCTCAGTTTCATTGGACCCAAAACATACGGCCTCCTCAAGTCCCTGACCGCACCGAGTCTGCCGTCCAGCAAGACCTTCGACGAGTTGCGGAGGATCCTTGGCGACCGCTTGGCGCCCGGACCGTCGGTGATCGGTGAGCGATCCAAATTTTACCGTCGTTCACAAAATGAAACCGAATCCATTTCCGGCTTTGTGGCGGAACTACGAAAGCTATCGCAGTCGTGCGACTTTGAAGGATTTTTGGACGAAGCTTTGCGTGATAGGTTTGTCTGCGGTTTACGGCGAATAGACATACAAAGGGTTTTGTTTGCTTAAGATAAGGAACTATCGTTTGCAAAGGCTGTCGAAAGAGCCTTGGCAATGAAAGCCGCAACGAAAAATGTCGCGGAAGTTCAAGGGACAGAAGAAAACTTTTCAGACGTGCATAAATTCAACGCGACAAGGAAACCACTCCAGAAACAAGTTTCAACAAAACCGAGCGGCACAGAAGGGAAGCCGCCCTCTAAGCATTGCTTCCGATGTGGATCGCCGAAGCACATGAGCAAAGATTGCGTGCACGCGTCAGCAACTTGTTTTGGCTCCCTAGTAGCACCGAATGTTGCCACAATGTTACTGGAATGTGGTCCGCCAACGTTGTGTATACGTGGCTAATGTCCGCAAAATGTCATGTCGCTGGAACGTTATCTGAAAACATTCCCGTAACATCACAGTAAACATTTGTGCTATGTTATGCCCTCAACATTTGTGCTATGTTATGCCCTCAACATTTGTGCTATGTTATGCCCTCAACATTTGTGCTATGTTATGCCCTCAACATTTGTGCTATGTTATGCCCTCAACATTTGTGGTATGTTATGCCCTCAACATTAGTGGAACATAATTTATTAACATTGTTTATATATTTCCAATGACCACACAGCAAACATTTGTGGTATGTTTTGTCCTCAACATTCGTGTAACATTAACTTGGTGTCTCAAGTAGCAGCCAGGCTCTTTAAATCAACCGCGAAATTTGGTTTCTTAACCTATTGCGCTCGGAGTTTTTGCAGCGTTGCCCACAGGCGGTGCATTTTTTTATTATAAAAATTGCAAAGAGCGAACTTACCTGAGGAAAAAGTAAAGAAAGAAAAAGGGTTAACTCCTTTGGAAATTCAGCGAAGGCACCAGTCTTCAAACAATAGGGCGCCCTATTTTTGAAGACCGTTGGCTTCGCTGCATTTCCATAGCAGTTAAGCCTTTTTCTTTCTTTATTTTTTCCTCTGTTAGTTCGCTCTTTGCAATTTTTATAGAAAAAAATACACCACCTGTGGGCAACGGTGCACAAAATCCTAGCGCGACAGGTTAAGAAACCGAATTTTGTGGTCGATTTAAAGAGACTGGCCGCTATTTGAGACACCCAATATATTGCCAATTAACCACTACTTTTCTACATGAGCTACATTATAAAAAAATCAATTTACCCACAACAAGGACAGCTAAAAACGGACAAGCACATATACATAGCCGCAGTGTGCTAGCTTCGTTTCTATCTTTCCTCGTCTCGGGCAAATTAGTCGCAGACTAGCTCTCTCAGCGGTTTCACCCCACCTTCGCCTGTGTGAAAGTCGTTCATCAAATAGCACTGCTGCTGAACCGCTCTAAGAAGTTATTCACTTCACTTGAGAAAACGTGAATACTCTTTTCTGTAATCTGCTTTCAATCATGTCGATCTATCCCAGTTTTATTTCGAGGTAATAGCTTTTATAAAAAGCTCCACTTTTTTTTAAACTTTTTTCAGCCAATCAAAATGTTTAACTTTCAGATGTTTGTCACTCCAGTGTTCTTGCACAAGAATTTTCTGAGCAGAGAAGTCACTAAAAAAATTGTGAAGTAAACTTTGTGAGGGAAAAAAAAATCTTTCTTACGTGACAGAGAAATAAAGAACTTCTGATGATCTTAAAGGACAAACATTGATTTTAATTCCCAAAATAATTAGCACTTATAACCAACAAAGGCTAGACACATTTAGCTAATGAATGGGTATATTGAAGATAAAATGTTTGTCCCAAGTTGCCTTAATACCCAAGTTGACACCTTAGTAACTGTTGAGCACAGCACTTGTTGACAACATGTCGGTTACCAGAAATGTAGCCTGTAATATATACGCCTCACGGAACTCCAAAGCCAAATTTAGCAGCTATACTCCGTTTCACCTTCAGTTGAAGCGCAGCATACACTACGAGCCATCCCAGTCAATTTAGCGTCAAGTCTGATGCAACTTTGAGCTCTGCCTCCCGTTCCACACAACTGGAAAGTCATGTGATACTCTTCCGGCGCTGGATCAGCTGGGATGGCCCATACCGTTCACTATGCTTTAACTTAAAGTGAAACGGAGCATAGTGGAGACAGCACTGTAACTATTCAGACTCAATATTTCGAAATTAATTAGTGTTGATTTTCATTTCTTTTATATTAAACTTTCACAACCCACAAAAGTAAAAGGTTTCATGGATTACCAGTACCCCCAACCATTGGGCAATTGATTTGCATGATAACTTCTACAATTTTTTCTCCAATTGCAAGATTTTGAATTATTTTGCAGTGGATTATCTACTCTCTACAGCAGAAGACTGACTAATAGAACAGGCATATCAAAAGATGCATCCCCCCCCCCCCCCCCCCCCCCCAGACAGTATAATTTCAGCAATATTTTCACTTTGTGACACAATTTAAAGCAGTCCTCCACTCTACTTTTCTCTTTCGCATCTGCTCGTGGCAAGCAGAGAAGGAAGCAGGGGTTGCTGGGAAAAGTATGCACATCTGTCTTCATCACTTCCTTCCAGCCAATAGGAAGTTACAAAAAGAAAGCCATCTCCTTGAAATAGCAACCACTTTTCAGGCAACCATGTAAAATCAGTCTTGCCAAAATGAGTCTTGCACCCTAAATAGTTATACTTTATTTATTTTTTTTTCAAGGAAAATGCATTTTATGACATGGGTGTCCTATCCATGTCATTCTAACTTGTTCTAACTTTTTTAGTGGCCCTCTAAGAGGCACCTGTCACTGACCATAAAGTAGGACGCTTAGAGGAATCCAAAAGATTTGTTGAGATAGGGTTTATTTTCATAAATCTTCCAAGTTTTACATTGCACTCAGTAGAAGCTGTAAGCTCAGCCAACTTGATTAAAATAAACTGAGAAAACATCACGAAAAAGGTTGCAGAAACAGGACCAGACATACACTGCGGAAACATTTGCAGATTCACTAAGAAACATACTCAACTTCTCAAAAAGTATAATGAGTGGTAACAACCAAGCTTAAGTTAGCAGAAGAAACATGTAG